AATCCAAAAATTATTTTTTCAAAAATTAAAAAATTGTTGAAAAAAATTTTTTTTTTAGATATTTTTGAAAATCCTTTTGTCTGATTTTTGGTATTCGTGACCGTAATACACCTACAAAATTTTATCAAAATCCGTCAAGACGTGTAAGAGAAAATTTGTCCACAAGAATCGGTGACATACACACACACACACACACACACACACACACACACATACATACATACATACACACACATCCGGACATTTGTTCCTCTCGACGAATTATATATACTACACTTGAAAATTTGTAAAAATAATTGGTTCTAAAAAATTCGGAAATCGACATCACTATAAGGCTTCCTTTATGAGGAAGCAAAACAAATAAAAAGCAAGTTTTCTTTTCAAATTAAGGTCAAATTCCATTTTTTTCCTCTCAAGAATAAATGATCCGAACACGCATCGCTCTATTAGGTGGAAATTTATAATTATTTCCATTGTAACAATTCTACTTGCATCAAGTGTCGAAAATATTTCAGTCCCTATCAATTCGTAATATGTGGACGTCCACATGAAAAGGGCCCATATTGTCGGTTCTAGTTTTCGAGATAATCGCAATTTAGTAATTTTTGAGCAAATTCTTAATTTTTTTTTATTTTTTATTATCAATCTACATGTTTTGACAAGTCGAATCATGCGGTTTTCATTAATTTATCGATACTTTAACTGTTTGATTTCATTGGTTCTTTAGAAAAATGAAAAGGGCCCATTTTGTCGGTCATTTGCAAAAGTAATCCGTATTTTAAAAATGGAGGTATAGAAAAATTAAAAACCTCTTGATTTTTCATCTCTAAGGTGTCCTGGACTGTAAACAATTCTTATCTGAATAACTTCTCAGAAGAACCAGAGATATTGATGTTAGAGTCCTTGTTTTTGTACTCATAGAAATGAAAAATTCGATATTTCGTGAAATTTTTCGTAATAGAGACTGTTAAAAAAATTTAAATAAGTTTAATATCTACTCTTTTTCTTCAAATGACACAATAAAATTGTACCTAATCATTAATCCTGTAAAAAAAATGGGTTTTTAATAGAAAAACTGTCCTTTTTAGAAAAGGGCCCATATTGTCGGTTTCTCGTACTTAAGTACGAAATTTTTCAAAATTAAGAGGGGGGAAGGTTTTAAAAATTTAAAACTTATTGGTTTTTCATCTTTTAGGTACCCTGGACTGTAAACAATTCTTATCTGAATAACTTTCCAGAGGAACCAGAGATATTGATGTTAGAATCTTTTTTTCGTAATTGTCGAAATGAAAATTTTAATATTGCGTCAATTTTTTCATAATAGAGACTGTCAAAAATTTTTAAATAAGTTTAATATCTATTCTTTTTCTTCAAATGACACAATAAAATTGTACCTAATCATTTATCTTGTAAAAAAATGGTTTTTTAATAGAAAAACTGTCCTTTTTAGAAAAGGGCCCATATTGTCAGTTTTTAAATTAATTAATTAATTAATTAAGGGGAGGGGGTTGTTCTAAAAATTTAAAACCTATTGGTTTTTTATCTTCAAGGTGCCCTGAACTAGAAACAATTCTTATCTGAATAACTTCCAAGAAGAACCAGAGATACAACAATTAGTTGGTATCGCAATCTTTAATTCCGTTTTTCTCTAAATGAGGTTTTTGGCGTTCTAAACTTTGAAATTCCGTAACTCAGCGAATTTTCAACCAAAAAAGTTCTAAGACCACTCAAAATTCTCCAAATTTTGCCAGGATTACGCCCATGTAGATAACTCCAATAGTGCCAAAATGGGCCCTTTTCATGTGGACGTCCACATATAATAAATAATTAGAAAAAAGAAAAAATTTTTAAAATAATTAAAAAAAAGACTTTTATTAAAAGTTCACTAATTAATTGAAAAAAAATTAAAATGAAACCATATAATTTTATTTATAATATTAAAATTTTCTTTTTGTTAAAAATAAATAAAGTGCTAAAAAACAAAAAAAATTGTAAAAAAACAATTAATAAAATTTTACTAATTAAAGAAAGTTCTAAAATTTGGAACGTTCAAATGAACGAATATTTTTTTCTATCACAAAAATTACTAGAATAAAATAAAAAATAATTGAACACTTATAGAAAGGAATTAATTATCTAAATTACCAACACTGAGAAAACTGGAGTATTGGACTAAACATCTGGAGGGACAAATCGTTGATATTTGAGAGTTAGCTATTGGATAACAATCTAAATGTTCAAATACACCATTGACAGATATTCGTGCCATTTCTCTAACAGAGGGACAAATTAACCATCTTGAGAAATCCCTTCCTTATCCGGCGCGAAATGAATAAATATGGCAACCTAACCCCTAAATTAAATACATAAAATGTCAGAAAAATAATATCGCGCGCATCAGATCGTACACATTTTCTGCGCAACTTTTAACCCTCAGATATAATGGGAGAGAATATACAAGTAGATTTCCATTATCAATTCAAAATTTATTTTAGAAGGACTATTTAACTCTCTTCATAAGCAAAGGAAACATACACTTTTCGAACCTCTGAATTTGACTCTCCAGTTTTCTCAGTGAAAAGATTATTATTTTCCTAGTATGTAAAAAAATTCAAATTGCAACGAAATATAAATAAAATCATCGTTTATTTCAAATTAATTAAAACTAAAAATAGTTGAAATCTGTAGAGACAAAAAAAATAAAAAAAATATTATTCTGAATAACAGATGAATTTTACTATTTTAATTGTTATAATATTATTAAGAAATATTTAATTATAAATACAATACAGAAAAAAAATTTCTATCCAAATTAAAATTTCCCCTTTATTTATATTATACAAATAAAAAAAGAAAAGAGCAATGAGGAGAGGGACTAAAATGGAAATTTCGAAGGAAGCTTTCTTTTAAATTCAACGAATTTAAATTTCGTATTCTATTCTTTTTCGCTTTTTATAAATTTCTCGTGATTCGTTGAACCCCAAAATTTAAATTTTTACAAAAGGAGTCAGCCGTCTTGAATGTAAATTTCCGTAATACATTTGCGTAATAAATTAGTCTTTCAAATCACTGTTTTTAAATTTTAAAGGGAAAAAGAATAACATAAAAACTTTTCCTACTTTCTTACATATTTTATTTTTCAATTTTTCCCAGTGAGACAAAATACGAAAATTAAGAAAAGATAATTAAAAATATCAACAACAAAAATAAAAAACGATAAAACAAAAACAATTTTTTCAAAATGTAAACAACCAGTAATTAATAAAACTAAAGAATAATAAAATATTACGAAACTTTACCAAATTTTTTCTCTAGTGAGCCAATAAAATAAAAAATGTTAATAAGTCAAAAACAATAAAAAAATTATATGACAATAAATATAATAATTATTTATAAAATACAAAATAATAAAACCGCTGCCAAGTTGTATATTTTTTTATAATAATTTTGGTGCTCATTTCATGAACACTTTGCTTCCTCATAGAGATAATAATAATAGAAATATATGAATAACTTTTTATAAGTATATGGTAAAAGTGATTGAATCTTGGGTCAATCAATGTATTTTTAAATACCCTACAAGATACATAGTTATAATAGTTTAATAGTTAAACAAAATTTTCAAACAAAAAAGATGAGAAAATGTCATTTTCCACAATTTTTGGTTTTTAAAATACCAATAATTTCGAAATTTATTATCGAATTAGGTTCAAAAATAGGTCAATTGAAGCGTTTCTCAATGCTCTATAAGTTGGTAACGATAATTTAAAAGTTACTTCTACATTTTTCAACAAAATTTTCAAAAAAGTCTTATTATCCACAATTTTTTATTTTTAAAAGTTTAATATCTCCGGCAAGAAGGCTAGAGACAGGAGGTGAAACTTCGGTAGTGGGGATGAGTCAAAAGCCTTTCATTAACCAGGCGTTTTTCGTTTCGAAAAGTCGCCGGCGCGGTGCTTCTGCCCATCACTCACACATTCAAATTCTTGTATACCATATGTTTTACATATGTGTATGATATGATTTTAATTACGTGTGTAGCTGCGCAGAAGTCCGTGTGGTCTATTGCGGCGAAAACTTTTTTTGAAAGTAAACGCCTGACCATACATCAGCTGAGCGACTCAGCATTGCCATACCCCCACTACCAAAGTTTTACCTCCTGTCTCTAGTCTTCTTGATCTCCGGTTAATATATGGACAAAAAATGTTTAATAAGCGCTCAAAAGATGCGTCTAAAAAAACTACAAAATTAGAGAAAAACATTTATAAGTGTCCTAACATTTTTTAAAAGTTATGGTCAAAAAACGTTTTTTTACAAAATTAAAAATCCAAAAAAAATTTAGTTAAACTTTATTAATCTATCTCAAAGCACTCTTATATTATGTCCGCAGGTGAGGTCTACAATTTAAAAAAAAATTCAACACAAAAGCTCTTCATAATTTTGAGATATTTATGAAAATGTGATGTAAACACACACACACACACACACACACACACACACACACATAGGGAATGACATTTTTTAAAAATGTCATTTTTGAACTCCTGAGGTCAAATAACATAAAGATATGTCAAAAAATCGAACTCGAAAAATTTCGGTATTACAATACTTCCTCTATGGAGGAAGTAATATAATAATAATATTTATAATTTTATTAAAATAAACTTATTCTTTTTCTTCTGCTTCTTCTTTTTCTTCTTATTATTATTATTATTATTAATATTATTAATATTGTTAAAATTTTTATTGAAAGTTTTAAATAAAATTAAAAGGAATTGAATTAAATTTTTCCTTTTAATTTGCGAAATAATGAAATTTATTTTCCAAAATCATTTCGAAAACTACTTTTTTGAAAGAATCGTGTGAAAAATAACAAAAGAAGAAAAAAATAAATGCAACCACTGTGATTATAGTAAAAAAAATACTGATCGGTAGATATCAATTGCGTCATGACGGGAAGTAAAACCTCAACAGACCTTACGAAATATTTGTTTACTCACGTGAAAAGTCAAATAAATAATATTTTTTCCCTCCTAGAAGAAAAACTCAAAAAAAACTAACAAGAAAGGAGAAAATTCACAACTTTAGTTCACTCTAACAGAACACCATTCAATTCCTCCCGAATAAAAAAAATTTACAAAAATACTAAAAAACAAAAACACTGAGTTTTTTCCCCCACTTTATATTGTGGGCTATAGGACACTCTCAAACACTATTACGGAAAAGTGAAACTCAACAACATAAGGAAGACCGCACCTCCTTAAAAAAAGGAAAAAAATATTCCCTACTCTAAAAATTCAGTACTAATTCACTATCAGTTCATTAATAGACTGAATTTAAAAATTCCAAAAATTCCCACACATTAAATGTCACAAAAAGGAATTCAAAAATTCAATGACAAAATAAATGATAATAAAAAATAGTATCGTGACAGCTGACACTGACTTATTTTGTTTTTATTTTCAAAACTCTTTTTTTTTACATAAATGAAAAAAAACGCGACACAGTTTCACACAATTTTTTTTATCTGTATTACACTTTTTGAAGGCTATTTTATATCTATGTACGTATTATTTCAACTGTTCTGAGCAACAGGGTACACAAAGAGCGATGTGCCAAGAGCCAAGAATTTCACTCCACACTTGTGCGTCGACTGCTTTGCTTCCCACTTTAAAACCCCACAAATACACTCTTACGCTGGCAGACACAAACACACTCACTGAGGCACTAATGAAATGTTTCAAAATATTTCAGAGACGAGAATTTACGTATTTTCTCTAAAAAAGAAAAAAAATTCTCCTTCCAGTCTCAAACTGGAACACATTTACTATAAAAAGACCCAAATTTCCTTCTGCTCATAATTTTACAAAATTAAAATCAAAAATGTTTCGGGAATTTTTGTTATTCAAGTAATTAAAAATTATTTCTTCAATTATTATTAAACTCTTATAATTTAATTATTATTTTACTATTATTATTATTTTATTATTATTTTTATTACAATTATAATTTTCCTTCAAATTAATAATTAATAATATTATCAGTAACGATAAGAATAATATAAATATTAAAATAGTAAAAAAATTAAAATAAAAAACACTAAGAATGATAATAATAATTATAATAGTATAGTATTAATAATAATAATAATAATAATAATAATAATAATAATAATAATAATAATAATAATAATAATAATAATAATAATAATAATAGTAACACTAAAAAAATGTAATTTATAATTATTACGTGTACTACATAATCAATTATTATTTTATATTAATAATTAATATTATCCTTGACTTCTAAAAATAAATATAAAAATTCCCTTAAATATAATATTAATATTTTACCTGGTTAATATATTTCGAAGTAAACTTGAAAAATAAAATTACGTATAAAAGTACGCACAGAGATAAAACTTACAAAGCTAGAAAATAAAAAATAATTTTAAAAACAAAATTGTTCCAAATTGAATTTTATTATTGAAAATAAAATTTAAACGCGAACATTTTTAATTCTGCGAGAATTTAAAAACCCTTTTTTTGAGGTTAAGTTAAATCGCGAGGACATCAAAATAAACACAAATTTATTTGTGTGTGTGAGAGACACAAAAATAATAATAATAATCGTCAAGCAGGGATGGGTACGTAACATACTTCATGTATGTTACCCGGGTTTGTTACGTATGTTACGCATGTATGTAACTCGTTTGGTTTGCTACCCTACGTATGTTACATTTCATGACGTCAGTCAGAAGTAAGCATAACCTCAATTTCTCTGGTTGTGGCCAATCCGGCACTTGGCCTTGTTTATTATTATTCTTTTAATTAATCATTAGTCCTGGAAATTATTGTTTTTAAAATGAAACGAGGTGGAAGGCCTCTTAATAAACCCTTTTTCAACAACTTAGTTATACTCCTACGACTCCTACCAAATTAGAAAACGGGAGAGTAGGAAAGTAGTTTGGATTTAAAGTATTAATAAATTTTTTTTAAAAATCTGACTCCACAACCGTAAATGGAATGTTGCATCCAAAAACAACATTCCCAGACTAAAGTCTTCTTTTGATAATTCCATTTTAGATTGTTTTCCTGTTCCTAAAAATATAAAAAAATCCGTTACTTAATTTATACGTTTATATATAAGACTTTCTACAGGATCAAATATCTATTACATTAAATTTTTATAACTTAATTTATTGAATCCAAAATCATTCTACTGGAAATTTATATACTTTATACATGTAACTATAAATTATTAATCTTATAATTATTTTACAAAAGTGAGGTTATGACGCACCTTTGATGTTTGCATGTTTGTTACGTTTGCGACAATTTGTTACGTATGTTACTCATTTATGTAACATAAGTAGAAAACCTCGAGTTTGTTACATTTATCCATCCCTGTCGTCAAGGCATTTAAACCAGTGAAGTAGGAATTTATAAAAGAGCCCTTCCCTTTAAAAATTGGCGCTAAAAATTTAAAAAAGATTAATTAAATAATTACGAATGAAAATATTTTCCTAACTTCAATTAATTAACTAATAAAAATTATAAATATTAATTATATTTATTTTCCAGTTTTTTTAATTTTTTCAAATTTTTTTTGTTACACTATTTTATTATTTATTTTGGAAACGTTTTTTCGATCGAGTTATATAATTTAATATACATAAATTGAATAAATTATTGTTTGTATTATTATTTTTATTTTAACTATTTTTTTTATTATTTTTATTGTAATTTTGTTCAAAACTTTATTTTATTAATTTATTTCAAAAAATGAATAATAGTAAAATCTAACTTTTTTCTTTAAATTATAGTCAATTTTACTAACAAATGAGTAGAAATTACTATTTATTAGTAAAATTTATAGTAATTTCTACTACCCCAGTAGCACGTAATATTACAGCAATATTGCACTGCAAAAAGAAGTATCTTAATTTAAGATGTTTTGGTAGACACTTTTTAGTTACTTGAAATATCTTAATTTAAGATGTTAAAAGTATCTTCGTACACATTTTCTGTGGTATTTTTTAGGCAAAAAGTTTTGAGGTTAACTATGGGCTCTTATGGAAAACACTTAATGTATCTTAGTTTTTAGTAACTTACACTTATAGCGCATCTTACGATTCTCAAGTAACTTATCGCTAAACATCTTATTGCAACAGAAACATCTTAATTTAAGATACATTAAAGAACTTACAAAAGTATCTTACTTTTCTAAGATGGAAGAAATATCTTCATCACTGCTAAAACGTATAAAGCATCTTAAATATCAGTAAGATGCTTTAGAAAACATCTTATTTTAAGATGTAAGATACCATTTTTCCATCTTACATCTTATTTTAAGATATCAAAAAAGACACCTATTTTTGCAGTGTGAGAACACTGCATGAACATTACCAATATTGCCTCAATGTTGTCAATGTTACTAGAACATTACGTGCTACTGGGGTAATTTATTAGTAAAATTGACTTATTCAAAAGCAAAAAGTCAATCATAAATTCGAATTTAGAGAGAAAATAAAATATTTTTAGTTAAAATACTTTTAGTTAAAATAGTTTTATTAAAAATATTTTTAGTTACAATACTTTTAGTTAAATTATTTTTAGTTCAAGTATTTTTAGCAAAAAATATTAAATAATAATATTAATAGTTATTAATATTAAAAATAATTCTCTAAATTTTACTAATAAATAGTCATTTTTACTAATTTATTAGTAAAATTTACTAAATTTAAATTTAGAGAGAAAAAAGAAGAAGAAGAAGAAAAACAGAAAGAAGAACTAATATAATTATTTATATAATTTGTTATTAATATTTTTGTTATCATTATTATTTTTACTGACATTTTTTTTATTACTATCATTTTGCTTTTATTGCCATTTTTTTCATAGAATAAATTTTCTCACTACTACAATAAATTAGATTCGAAAAAACTGAAAATTCCTCCCGAAAAATATCTACGCTCCTGCACAAAATACGCATCACGTGAGAAAGAAGACAACTGTCCACGAATAGCATTTCAGTTGGTAGTTGGTAGACATCTCGAATTGAGATTGGTTCAACACTGAAAATATCGCGCACTTATTAATGAAAACCACCTTAAATGTAAGTCCAATGAAATTTCGTTTTACATCAATTTTACAACCAATCTCGTGACAAACGAAAAGTTACACATTTTTCATTGACATTTCCCCAAGTACATTTTTGTTATCGTGCGGAAAAATTTATAAAAGAGACACACACATTGTATTATTTATTTTTCTTTTCGTTGAAAAGGATAAAAAATGTTTTTCACTTCTATTTGCGTTTATTTGACAGTTCCGTAAAAGTACAAAAGAAAAAGAAATAAGGGTCAAAAAAATAAAATGTAAGTTATTTAATTTTAAATAATATCTCAAAGAAAAAAAAATTTATAGAAATGTGTTAATTTTTGGAATAGAATAAAATAAAATATTGTCAATAAAAAAAACACAAATAATTAATTATTAGAAGTTAGACTATTAATTTTTTGACCTAAAAATCTTTTGTTTGTAAAATGATATAAAAATATGAAGATAATTTTTATACAAATACTATTTCTTATGGAGAAAATTTCTCTTCGTAAATTTCTTTTGAAAATTTCTTTTAACTGAATTAACTTACTTTTAATTTTTCTTTTAATTATAATTAATTTTTAATTTTTTGCACTTTTGGTAAGAAATGGTAAGAAAATTTAAGGGTTGTTTATTTTTCAAGAAAGAGTTGCTAATAAAGAATTAAAAATAAAATGTAACATTGTGTGCATAATAGTGTTTAACTTATGTGCATAATCGTATATCTTTGAAACAAGAAACAAATGTTTGCTGATAGTATTCAATTCGACAAATATTTATGCCAAAATTTTTCACGCAACATCGCCGACAAAGACTTTGGTTACATACAAAATTTCTAAGAAGTTCATAAAGTAGTGCGTTTTATTCAAAGTAGAACGTTTGTTAAATTTAAATTTATTGTTTTTTTATTTTTATTACTTTATTTTTTTTTAAGAAGGAGTTGCAATTAATAGTAAAATTAATTCAATAATCAATTTTTATTTTAACAAATTTTCAATTTAATTAAATATTTAAATTACAGTTGTAACTGATATTTGGAAAAAAGTTCAAAAATGAAGTTTGCCGAACATCTTTCTGCTCATATTACGCCGGAATGGCGAAAGCAATACATTAGTTACGAGGTATTTATCATCAAAAAAAGAGAATTTAATGAAAAAAAAATTCTATAAATTAAAAATTTAAATTCACTTAAGAATAAATATTATTAAATAAATAATTTTTTCCCACTATTTTTTCTACAGGAAATGAAAGCGATGCTTTATAGGGTGGTGGAGGAAGCACCATCTTCAGAAACAACAGAACCGGAAGTCATATCAAGACATTTTGCAACATTCGATGAAACATTCTTTACATTTTGTGATCAGGAATTGAAGAAAATAAATACCTTTTACTCTGGTGAGTTACTCGCAACTGAATTTAATTAATAAAATAATCAATTATAATTAATAACATTAGTAATAAATAAGAGTAAATAATTTTCAAATTAAATAATTAAATAATTAATTGGTAATTAATTAGTGAAAGATAAATTAATTTGTGATTAATTAGTAATCAATGAGTTAAAGTTAAATTAGTAAATTAAAATATTAAAATAACTAATAGTGAACACAGTACTTTAATAGTAATTAATTCACAGACAAGATTAACTATTTATTCGAGTAAAATACAAAAATTGTTTTCTTCTTTGAATTTCCATTTGGGAGAGAATTAATTTTATTAAATCAATTATTTAATTTTTGTATAGAGAAGTTGGCAGAGGCAACACGAAAATATGCGGCATTACAGAGCGAATTGAAGAGTGCCCTGGATGCCCATCAAGGCGGTGGAAAAAACAAAGGGAAAACAAATCAGAAACCCCATTTGACAACAAGAAAAATAAGAGAATTAAAACTTGCATTTTCTGAATTTTATTTATCGCTAATTCTCCTGCAAAATTATCAAAATTTAAATTACACTGGATTTCGAAAAATTCTCAAAAAACATGACAAGGTAAATAATCAACAACGAAAAAGAGAGTTTTTTAATTAAAGAAAGATAAAAATTAATTATAATATAAAAATTAAATCAATTAATTACGTAAATTAATTATATTAATTAATTACTTGAATCAACTATAAATTAACTATGTATATATTTATCTAGATAAATGAATTAATTAGTACCTAGTATTTAATTAGATAATCAAATAATTTCGTAAATTAATGAAGTTCGCGGATTAATTAATTATAAAATTTAAATTTCGTTATAATAAAATTGTGTATTTTGTTGATTGTTAGCTTCTGTCTGTGGACACTGGATCAAAATGGAGAGAGGAGTGCGTGGAAGTTGCACATTTTCACACATCAAAGGATATTGATAAATTAATTCAAGATACAGAAACATCGGTGACAAATGGACTTGAGGGAGGCGATCGTCAAAGAGCAATGAAAAGACTTCGAGTTCCACCACTTGGTGAACATCAAAGTCCATGGACCACTTTTAAAGTTGGACTTTTTTCCGGCAGTTTCATTGTTCTTTTCGTCACCGTCATTCTCTCAGGTTAATCTCCACAAATTTTTTTCATACAATTATTAATTAATTAATCTATTAAAAACAAGAAAAAATTTTTAATTATTTCTTCTTCTATTTTTTTCTATTTATTCTTTCATTATTTTTTCTTCTATTTTTCTCTTCTATTTATTCATTTAATTAATATTATTATCTATTTTCAATTAATTTTCTCTATTCAGCATTTTTTTCGCACGAATTTCATTTTCTTTTCTTCAAGAATTAAAAATTTTGAACTGAAAAACAAAATGAAAATGAAAAATTAAATTTTGTAATTAAAAAATGTTACTTTTTTTTATTATTTTTTTTATTTATCATTTTTTTATGAATTTCATTTGTTTCTTCATAAAATTAATTTTCTTTTTTTCTGAAATTAAAAATTTTGAACTGGAAAATAAAATGAAATTAAGGGCATTTGAACCTTGATGACGTTTCAGTTTGTGCAAAGCATGTGTGACGTCATCAAGTTTCAAATGCCCTTAAAAAATTATTATTATCTACTTTTTTACTTAGCATTTTTTTCATGAATTTAATTTTTCTTTCTTTATTTTTCATTCAAGAATTAAAATTTTTAAAGTCAAAACTGAAATAAAAATAAAATTTTACTGAAAAACTGTTCTTCTTCTATTTACAGCAATTTTTCACGATGGCGGTGAAAATTTGAAAGTAGCCTTTCTTCTGTATCGTGGACCATTACTTATTGTACAATTTCTATTTCTAATTGGAATAAATGTTTATGGTTGGAGATCGTCAGGTGTTAATCATGTATTAATATTTGAATTGGATCCTCGAAATCATCTTTCTGAACAACATCTCATGGAACTTGCCGCAGTATTAGGTGTCGTTTGGGCATTGAGCATTCTTAGTTTTTTGTACAGTGCAAGTTTAAGTATTCCACCATACGTTAATCCCCTTGCACTCGTTATAATTATGGTCGGATTTCTCATCAATCCACTGAGAATGTTTCGTCACGAGGCTCGATTCTGGCTGATGCGCATTATGGTGAGTCCAAAATTATTTTATTTTTTTTATTTTTACTCTTAAATTTATTATTAAATTTTTTATTATAAATAGTAATTATTATTAAGTATTTTATTTTATTTATTTTTATTTTACCAATTTTTATTAAATGCTTATTATTATACCAATTAATAATTAATTTAATAAAATAAATTGAATAAAAGAATTAAATTATTGGTAATTAATAAAAATAGTTAGAATAGAAATAAATAAAAGAAATGGTAAAAAATAAAAATATGAATACAAAAAATTAGAATAATAAAAAAAACAAATTAATGATTGTAAACAAATTGAAAATAGAAAACTATTGAAATTAATTAAAAATATAAGCAGAGTGTAAAATAAAAATGAGTGAAATAAGAAATGAATAAAATAAAAAAATAAGTGAAATGAAAAATGAATAAAATAAAAAATGACTGAAATAAAAAATAAATAAAATAAAAAATAAACAAAATCAATAAAAATCAAAGGAAATAAAGTGAATTAAAATGAAAGAAAATAAATCAAAAAGAAATAATTAAAAAAGAAGTAAAATTAAAAAAACGAAATAAAAAAACAAAACTAAAAATAAAAAATTTATTTAAATTTTGATTTTTTTTCCTCATCAGTGGCGAGTGTTAATTGCTCCATTGGTATTTGTGAATTTCGCTGATTTCTGGCTGGCGGATCAGCTCAACAGTCTTGCAACTGCATTTTTGGATTTTCAATTTCTCCTTTGTTTTTATATAACCAATGGAAATAATTGGCTCGAAGCTGGACGTACAGATCAATGCACATCAGGTTCTCTAATTATTAGACCATTGGTGAATTGTTTGCCAGCATGGTTTCGTTTTGCCCAATGCATAAGACGTTATCGTGATTCCAAGGAGGCTTTTCCCCATTTATGGAACGCTGGAAAATATTCGACAACTTTTCTCGTTGTCACTGCAACATCATTGCGTTTCTATTATAAAGGTAATTATAATAATAATAATTTTCATCTGAATTTAAACAAGTCCATAAACTAATTTTATTTTATTTATTTTATTTTATAATTTAAAAAAATTATTAAAAAACAGTATTGTCTTTTTTAATTAGTGAATAATTTCTTTGTAATTTTTTACCGTTCAGGGAGTTATGATAATCATTGGGAAAGTCCATGGTTTTGGTTTTGGCTTGGAAGTTGTCTTTTGAATTCAATTTATTCGCTGACGTGGGATTTGAAAATGGATTGGGGCCTTCTCGACAGTAATGCTGGTGAAAATAAATTTTTACGAGAGGAAGTTGTTTATTCATCTTATGTAAGTAGCTTTTTGTTTAATTTTTGGAGAATTTTTATTTTTAAACAAAATAATTAGAAATTTCATAATTAAAATTTTTTTAAAGAAAATAAAAACTTTTCAAGTACAAAAATTAGAATTTAAATAATTAAAATTTCGTAGAGAAAATAATTAAAATTGTTTAAAGAAAACAATATAAACTTTTTAGAGAAAAATATAATTTTTTTAAAGAAAATAATTAAAATTGAAGTAATTAGGTACAATTTTTTCAAAGAAATTAATTAAAATTTAAGTAAATATTATTTCAAGAGTAATTTTTTCTCTACAAAAAATTAATAAAAATTCTTCTAAAATTGAAATTTTGAAAAATTCAAATAATATTTTTTCAGGGTTTTTATTACTTCGCAATGATAGAAGATACAATAATTCGATTTTCATGGGTCGCTACATTTATTCTTCACGATTATTTTTCCGTTTCAAACGATTTACTGATGTCAGTAGTTTCTCCGCTGGAAGTTTTTCGGTAAGATTTTCAAAATAAGTTACTAAAAATAAAATAAATAAAAAATAAAAACTAGAATAAAAAATAAATACTTGCCAAAATAAAAATAAAAAACTTGAAAAAAAATATTAACTAAAATTAAAAACTAGAATACAAAATAAAAACCAAAATAAGAATAAAAAAGTTTAATAAAATATAAAAACGAAAATAAAATTAAAATAAATTGAAATAAAAAGCAAAAATAAAAAAATAAATTCCATTTTGTAACTGAATTTTCTTTTTCAATCAGACGTTTTGTTTGGAACTTCTTCCGATTGGAGAACGAGCATCTGAACAATTGCGGTAAGTTTCGAGCAGTAAGAGATATTTCAATAGCGCCAATAGAGAGTTCCGATCAAACGCAAATATTGCGCATGATGGATGAAGAAAATGGAGTGATTAATCGAGGCAAACGTAAAGGTATTGGTAATAAAAAAGCCAATCAAAAAGAAGACAAACGCTTATTACTTAAAGACGAAACAATTGACTTGGATGCATCGACAGTCAGTTGAGAGAACAAAGAAGCAAAAACAAAAATTTACAATTGTTAATTAAAGCACTAGTTGAATATTTCTTTTCTCTCTAAAACCACTTGCCTTAACGTTTATTCGCTCAAACAAAATGGTCACACAGCTGAATTTTAATTTAAAAAAAGGGAAGGAATTAAGAAAAACTATTATAAGTGCCTTTTTCTAGCGTTTACTGATTGAAATTACTATTTTTATTGTTCGTTGCATTTTGTTAATATGAGTAAAGAGAGAAAGAAAGTGAGAATGAGAATTAAGACGTTTGGCCAAAGAAAAAACAAATTAAATTCAATTCCCAACAAAAAGTTTCTAATTTATTTTCGATTATTAATTATTAATTTCAAGGAATAAACGAATTATCGATAATTATTATAATAATAATACAAATTATTTTTTGCATAAATAATAATAATATTAATTATAATTATTATTTGTACCAAAAAATAATAATACTAAGAAAGATTATTATTATTTATTATTATTATAACACTCAATGCCCGTAGATGAATAAAAAAATTAATAAATATTAATAATAAATATAAAAATATAAAAGAGTAAATTAAACTAATTAAAATTGAATTAAAATAATAAAAAAATGAAACAACAAATTTTAAAAGCAAAAAGAAATTAAAAAAAGCAATTGAAAAAATAAATTAACAAAAAGAATAAAAAATGTCAGTTCAATTAGTGAAATAATTAGTTAATTTCAATAAAATAATTGAATTTACTTTTAGAATTTAAAATTTCATAGTAAATAAATAAATAAAAAAATATAAAATACAATTTTTTAAAATATTATTTTTTTAATGCTAATATAAATTAAATATAATTAAATATTATTTTTAAATGTAGCATTAGAAATTATATTTCCGAAATTTGTTTGGCCAACAAAAAAATGTCTTTCTATTTGTTAAAAATATTACTTGAATGAGAATTGAGAGAGAGAGAGAGAGAGAAAATGGTAAAAAAATTATAGTTAATAATATTGTTTTTGATAATAGTGTGATATAATATATATTTTGTGACGTTTCATGTCCATTGTCTTCAGCGATTTCGCAATCCCATTGAAATAATTAAAAACATCTAAAAAGAACATTCCAAAAAAAATATCCAGACATTTTTGACTGATTTCAATTTTGCGATAATTTTAAATGTTATTTTTTCTGTTTTTTTGCAACAATAGAAATTTTTACTTTCATTAATAAAAAAACATTCATATAAAAGTTAAAACCAAATTACATGAAGAAAATCAAATAAATTATTTCATAAATCGATTATTTTTTTAATTTTTCAAAATAAGAAAATTAAATTAAATAGTAAAATTTTTTCCTAATAAAAAAATATTTTTCTTTTTCGAAACTATACAGATTTTTAAAAAAGTAAAATTTTAAATTATTACTTTGTTTACTTTTAATTTATTATAATTCTTGGTTTTAAAGTAACGTGCTTTAAGTAAAATCTCGTGACTTAATTCTGGCCATATACTTATTTAGAAGAAAAAGGCAAACTAAATTTTTATGCACGGAAAAAAAAAGTTCCCAGATGTTTCAGGAATTATTTCCTAACTCTTGGATACGTGGTAACAGCTCTGAACTAGCGACGAACATTCAATGGTAATCAATGAATGTTTGAAAGAAATTCGGGAACTGTATTAGAAAAAGCTATAAATAGTCCATTAGTCTCTTTTTCATTACTTTCTCATGTAAAGTTCATGGCACTGGCCGCAACTGTTTCTGAAATTTTCGGGAACTCGTCAAGGAATCTTGGTGCGCAGAAACTGTGCGCACCAGTCTCAACAAGTCTCACCGTCAGTAAGACTTGCGTGCCTTATATATTTATTTTATGCTGAGGTATTTAACTCGCCTGTTTAGCTCAGCTGGATAAGACGCCGGACTTCTATTCTCGGGTACACGAGTTCTGTTCCAGCCGCCGTCGATTTTTCTCTAATATGGTTTTTTCTATTTCAGAAACTTAATAAAAAATAAAAATTGTATGTGACCTTCAAGGATGTGTGCGGACGTGTCAAGGAGGGGAAGTGGGAGGGGGGAAGCAGAATCCATTTTTTCTTGCATTCGCCTAACTTTTCGATTTTCTTGTACAGTTCCCGACTTTTTCAAGAACAGTTTGCCGAGAAGCGGTGAAATAGTTATAATTTGTAGAGAAATAGTAAATTACATATTTAAACGAGGCAACCTTTAGTTATCTGTGTACTACCCGCCGTATCCAAGAGTTAAGAACGAAGTTCCCGAATAATCCTCGAACTTTTTTTTTCCGTGTGTTTAATAATTATTTTACGAAATATTTGAAAATAATTTAGTGAAAAATCTTTAAATAGTAGAATACCTTTTTTCAATATTATTTAAATATTATGAATATGATTAATAATTATTATTCTCTTGAAATTTGTTTTAGTGAAAATTTAGTCACAAATTTACATTTGTAAGAATTTTTTTACTACTTTTCAAGTAATTTTTCACTAAAAATTTAGTAAAATAAATTATTATTAATTACTACTAAACAAAATACTAACATTTTAATTAAAAATTAGTCAAAATTCTCAATAATTTTAAAAATGTTTCACCATAAATTTAGTAAGAGAAATTAACTACTAAACAAAATATTAATATTTTAATAAATAGTAAAAATCCTTACTAAACTAACTTTATTGATGAATTTTCACTAATTCAGATTTTTTTAAAAAGTAAATATTTTTTTTACAGTAAATGTAAATTTTTATTTAAATAATAAAATTAAAAAAACTGTTTACGTGCCAAATATGGGATTGTCTGTCAAAAAGATGAAAATACATATAAGTATTATATTTTGAATTAGAGATTTATCACACTTCCTATTGTTACAGTGTATTAATTTAATCGACTTTTATTGAAGATAAAAGTTATTCTAACTTTTACTCTACACCAAATATAAAAGCCATATCGATGCTGTTTTTTTATTTTTAGAATATTTCTTTAAGTCCAATAATTTGTTAAGTCGTTTTAATTATAGATTTACAAGAAAAAAAATTATAAGTATTCGTTTTCTTTCAATACTGAAATATTGTAGAAAAAAAATTGTTTACCAAAATCGACTAAAAACTGAAAAATTCCCAATTTCCAGCAAGATGAAAATTAGAATAATTTTTTTTCTGTCAAAATTGATTCAAATCGAAGAAATTTAAATTGTCTAAATAGGGTAAAGTGCGGGTATAGTCATACTAGTAGTCGGACACTTTCGTGTTTTTTGGTAAATAAATAATAATGCATTGTGATAATTACTTTAAAAAATATACTAGACGAATGTGTAAAGTTTATATTTTATGAAATTAGTGTTATTTTATAAAATAATTATACAAGAAATATTTTATTTAATATTTTAAAAATCATCGTGTCCGACTATAGATACAACCATTTCTAATATGCTTTAATTCCATTTTCCAGCAGATATCAATTAAAAAATTATCTTTTTTACTTTATAAATCCAAAATATCTGACAGATGTCCGACTATATAGAAAAAAGGGAAAAAAGTGTCCGACTACTAAAGCATTCGTAATTTTCCATTAAAATGTTTATATTTTATTAAATACTCAAGTATTTGTAACAAATTTATATGATTTTTACTCCTGAAGAACTCCTTTACCCAGGTGCGAATTTAGGTTGGCCGCCAGAGTTTGAAGGTAGGCCCAAGGTTGGCCTAACTCTGGCAAGCGAAGTTTTGGTTGCCAGAGTTTGCCCAACTTTGGCAAGTACTAGTGCCCACAGTTGGCCCGACTTTGCAAGCCAACCATTAAATGCAGAGTTTAACCAACCGTCGGGCCAACTTTGGCGACAAAGGTTGGCACAACTCATCCAAACGTAGTTTAAAAGACTTTCAGTTTCGGTTGGCCGAACTCTGGGCCACGGTTGGCCCGACGGTTGGCAAAACTCAAGAAAAGCAGTATAATTGACTTATAGTTTCTTGGTCGGCCGAACTCTGGGCCACGGTTTGCCCAACGGTTGGCAAAACTCTAGAAACGCAGTTTCATTGACTTAAACTTTCTTGGTCGGCCGAACTCTGGGCCACGGTTGGCCCGACGGTTGGCAAAACTTTGTGAAACGCAGTTTAATTGACTTACATTATTTTGGTCGGCCGAACTCTGGGCCACGGTTGGCCCGACTGTTGCAGCTTTAATATACATTTTGCGTTATGCACTCCCATGTGAGCGTAGCGTAGTGGTCAGTGTATAAGTCTTCGGTGCGTTAGGTTAGGGGTTCGATGCCAGAGAGCGTTAGATATTTTCGAAAATGTATGTATGAGATTGTGTTTAATAATAATAGGTAAAGGTTATATCTGATGTTCCCGCTAATAAATAACCTGTTAATTGTTTAAATAATTTAGTTTTTTAATAATTTTTTACCTTTGGCTGTTGAAGTTGGCCAAACTTTGAAAATTGTGGTTGGCCCAACTTACGCATCTAAAGTTGTGCAAACTTTGGCGTCAGTCTTTGGACCAACCATTGAAATGTATAGTTGGCACAACATATCCCAATGGGAAAAAAACCATTGGCGCATTAATGGCCCAATAATGGGAGCCACCATTCCATTATTGTCCCATTATTGGCACCCAATAATGGACCACTAATGGTAAAATCGTGGGATGTCCACGCCGATGCCAATAATTGGCAAACCATTATTGGCACATTATTGGCTGCCATTAAAAAACCAATAATAAAAAAAAAATTTTATTAAATAATAAATTTATTTATTTAATAATTATTTTATTTATTATTATTATTATTATTATTATTAAAAATATTAATTTTTTTAATTAATTATTTTATAGAAATGGTTATTATTTTCTATCACATCAAAACGTGAATAACCCTTTCGTTCAGAGTCTAAAAATTCCCAGTAAACGAAAACTAATTGAAATGAATTAAAAAGAATTCACAAAGAGCTTTCGTGAATCCCGCTTTGTGACAAATACGAATTGGAGCCATGATGCAATTTTCCTGAATTCGTGAAACTGTATTGAACTTCCGAACCTTCTATCCGTACCAATTCACTGGACAAGTTTTGAGCCTTTAATTTTTTTCAATTCGTTAGCACGAATTCAATGCATTCCTTGGCCATTTCTTTCGAATGCGAATTCGTTTGGACAAATTGGTACATATTGAATTAAATTCAATTGAATATACAAAGAGCTTGAGTGAATCCCGCTTTGTGACAAATACGAATTGGAGCCTACCAAAAATGTTAATTCGTTTCAATTCATTTAAATTAGTTTTTTTTTACTGGGTTATTTACCTCACATCCATCAGTGCAAAAATAGGAGAGGACGGGCAGAATAAAATTCTACAAATATTCGTGAGAATGCTGCCTCCTTATATACTTTTCAAGTTTCATGTTAGTTGCGAG